AATGAACAGTAAGAACAAGAACATTAGAGACCTGTACAGAGGAATAAATAACTTTAAGAGGGGTTACCAGCCTAGCAGTAACTTAGTGAAGGATGAGAATGGTGATCTGCTGGCAGATTCCCACAACATTTTGAATGGGTGGAGGAACTACTTCTCACAGTTATTGAATGTACATAGGGTCAGTGCTGTTAGGCAGACAGAAATCCATACAGCTGAACCGTTAATACCTGATCCTAGCCCGTTTGAGGTTGAAAGTTCTATTAAAAAATTGAAATGGTATAAATGGCAAGGCAGTGATCAAATTCTGGCAGAACTTATTCAAGCAGGAGGTGAAATATTACGTTCTAAGACCCACAATCTAATTACTTCTATTTGGCATAAGGAAGAATTGCCTGATCAGTGGAAGGAGTCTTATTATTGTACCAGTTCACAAGGAGGGTGATAAAACTGACTGTAGTAATTAACGGGGGATATCACTGCTATCAACTTCATATAAAATTTTGTCCAATATTCTTCTTTCAAGGTTAAGTCCATTATATATATGAAATTATGAGGAATCATCAGTGTGGGTTTCGACGTAACAGATCAACTACAGGCCAGATCTTTTGCATTCGTCAGATATTGGAGAAAAAATGGGAGTATGATGAGACAGTACATCAGCTATTCATAGACTTCAAGAAAGCCTATGATTCAGTTAGGAGGGAAGTATTGTACAATATTCTACTAGAGTTTGGAATACCCATGAAACTAGTTAGGTGGATTAAAATGAGTTCAAAAAACGTATAGTAAAGTCCGTGCAGGTGAACATTTGTCTGATAAATTTCCTATCCAGAATGGTCTAAAACAAGGAGATGCTTTATCGCCACTCCTTTTCAACTTTGCCTTAGAATATGCAATTAGGAAGGTCCAGGGAAACCAGGTGGGACTGAAACTAAATGGGACACATCAGCTGTTGGTCTATGCCGATGATGTGAATCTACTGGGTGATAATGTAGATACCATATAGAAAAACACACAAACTTTAATTGACGCAAGTAAAGAGGTTGGTCTAGAAGTAAACACAGAGAAAACTAAGTATATGTTACTGTCTCGTCACCAAAATGCAGGGCAAAATCATGACATAAAGATAGGAAACAGATGTTTTGAAAATGTGGCACAGTTCAGATATTTGGGAACAAGGATAACAGATCGAAACCTGATTCAGTAGGAAATTAAGAGGAGATTCAACTCGGGTAATGCTTGCTACCATTCAGTCCAGAACCTTTTGTCTTCTCGTTTGTTGTCCAAAAACATAAAAATTAGAATATACAAAACTATAATTTTGCCTGTGGTTCTGAATGGGTGTGAAACTTGGTCTCTGACATTAAGGGAGGAACATAGACTGAGGGTGTTTGAGAACAGGGTGTTGAGGAGAATATTTGGACTGAAGAGAGATGAAGTGACAGGAGGTTGGAGAAAACTGCACAATGAGGAGCTTCATAACTTGTTCTCTTCTCCAAGTATAATTAGAATGATCAAGTCAAGGAGGATGAGGTGGGCAGGTCATGTAGCACGAATGGGGGAGACAAAGAATGTGTATAGGTTATTGGTGGGAAAGCCAGAAGGAAACAGACCACAGAGAAGACCAAGCCATAGGTGGGTGGACAATATTAGAATGAATCTTAGAGAGATAGGATGGGATGGTATAGATTGGATAGATCTGGCTCAGGATAGGGACCAGTGGAGGGCTCTTGTGAACATGGTAATGAACCTTCGGGTTCCATAAAATGCTGGGAAATTCTTGAGTAGCTGCAGAATTGGCGGCTCCTCCAGAAGGGCTCAGCTCCATGAGTAAGTAAGTGATACATCCTAGTAGGTTGAGGAAGTGAAGGGAGAAGTAAGTATAGCTGCCATGGGAAGTATCATTAATGAAAAACTGGCTGCAATTATAGAAATGGTATTCAAAGCACATGAATCACATACTCAATAATGTGGCATGTCCACTGAAAGCCAAAATTGTAATGCCAGCAGAGCTGGCTGTTGCTAAGGAATGGCTTTGCAAACACACCCATTTCTAGGCAATGGTTCAATAGCTGTCATATGATGGCCATAGTAGACATGCATGCAACAGCAGAAGAGGTGTTGGAAGCGGTGTTTTCTGTGCAGTCCATTCCAAGGCTATGTAACGAGGACCAGCTGCCATTATGATGGAGTCAAGACAAAGTCTGCAGGTAGTCAGTTGAGAGTTATGAAAAGTGAGAAGCTGGGGACAGTTTGGGAACCCACAGGAAGGGAACATCTGCTGTCAGAAGTCACTAAGAAGCAGCACATGACTGAGAACACTAGTATGTGTGTGACAATGATCTGTAAAGTATAGTCCTCAGTTGTTTATGAGTCCTATAAATCAAATTACCAATCCAAACCCCATCTATCTTCACTTATCATATGACATGATGTTTTTACATGTACAGTCTCTTGTACTTTGATTTATTTCACCGTCTTCTAGTGCATACACTTATTTACTTCACTCTCACTCGCACTACATGTTTCGGCACAAAAGTGCCATCCTCAGGTGCTTATTTGCTTAACGTTAAACTAGTTCATTACATGCCTTGTCGTCTTCATATTAAAATAATTAAAATATATATTTATCATATATATTGATAAATGTTAAAAATTAAATATTAAAATATNTTTTAATTATTTTAATATGAAGACGACAAGGCATGTAATGAACTAGTTTAACGTTAAGCAAATACGCACCTGAGGATGGCACTTTTGTGCCGAAACATGTAGTGCGAGTGAGAGTGAAGTAAATAAGTGTATGCACTAGAAGACGGTGAAATAAATCATGGACTTGAATCAGTGCAACAGGACGCTAAAATATAACACTCTTGTACTTTATTAATGTTGTGATATGAGTGCCAGTACTGTACGAGCAATATGTCAATAAATACAGCCATATAAAACTACTACTGTCTTCTTTCTGGTAACTCTGCATATTAAAACTATAAACACCTGTTCAAATAGTTTTCTCCTCGGTTGAAATTCATTTGATAAAAATTTCTGAGCTTATACTTCTAAGATGTTCGAAGGGCTTAAATTCTTTCCATAGTAGTGAAAAGTTTTGTCATTACCTGAACGTATCCATGAAATTAAGAGGATACCGGCGCCAGCTTTTCAAATCCATTCCTGTTTTGCATAAAGGAGCCTTACATAGTATCACACGTGTGAGCAAGTTCAAGAAGTCCTGACCAATTCCTGCAACCCCCACAGCATTGTCACACAAGGACACACTCTGACAGTGGTGCATGAGCTGAGGGAGTACTAAGAGTTCAAAAGCTGGGTAAGTCAACACTCTCTGGACAAACATCAGAAAGACACCAGTGTATGGTACAGCTAAAACCTGAAACATAGATTTAAAAAAAAACTTAAGTAGCATTTATGCCTTGAATGATCCATTGCAACTCGCTGCAAGCAGAGTACCCGTACTGAACACGTGCTGAAGTACCGCATATCACCTCAGAACTTCTTATAAATCACTGAGACAATCAGGTGGAAAAGTCTGACGAACCACATTTTCCTTTATTTTTTTCTCTTTTGGTTGGTTATTTAACAACACTGTCAGTATTGAGACTATATAGCATTGATGACAATTTGATTAACAAATATGGAGCAATTGGTGGAATGGGAGTTGGCAGGGGAAACAAAAGTACTTGGAAAATACCCAACCCAATCCCACTTTGTCTACCACAAGTCACATATGACATGACCTTGAATTTAGTTCACATTATCACAGTGAGAAGCCAGCAACCAACCGTTATGCATGCATTCCTGACATCTTCATAAAAAGTTCATAATCATGCACTTAAGTTCTTACTCAGGTATAGATTACACATGAAACTCGGAAATTTAAATTTGGTGCTGTCATACGAATGTTCCTAACACCAAATTAATTGTTACAGAGAGTGAAGCTTCCCTTCTCTCCTGTACAAATGAAGAGAAACAGGATGAAAGAGATGTCTTACACAGGAGACTGGGGTTCTTAAAGTTTACTCTGTTTCCAAAAAAGAACTTCAATGCATACACATAAACTTATTATGAAGCTGGCATGCATGTGCATACAACAGAAAATACTTCTAGAATCTTCTATACTCTGAGCAAGCTTTTCTTGCGCTTTGTTAGGATAAATGCTTGTCAGTTTAACTGTCACAGAACCAACCTCCAGAGTGCCACTAAATGGAAAGTACATCAAAACACTTTTGCCTGAGATAAATGACTTACTGGAACCTCTATGATAACTGCACTGTAAAGGCAAAAGTAAAGTTGTTCCTGTGTTTAACTAATTATGCACTATGCCACAAAAGCATATGGGGGAATGAATGTATAGATCCATATTTTTTTGACCTTGGCACTAGATGGAGGTGAATGGTCAGCTTCACACCCCGGCCACTTTACCTCTGGCAGAAGAGCCCCCCATAGCCATCAGATGGGAGGCTGGGTGGGCCCCAGTGCCTGTCTGAATGACTTGGAGAAGAGATAATTCTTGATCCTAATGGGACTTGCATTCTGATCCCTAAGTCATCCAGTCTGTAGACAGTTGCTATACTGACTACGCTATCCTGGCTCCTAGGATGACTGCATTGTACATGCACATATCTCTAGTGAGAGGACTTACATTATAATTTCATACACTTTATTTTATCCATTCAGTACAGATTTATTACTGAAGTTCTGTATTCTGTACTGACTATAGCGAAAAGACAACTTCCAGTCCCCCTCCCCAAGCACTGTGACCATTACTGGGTCCAATGCGCAACCTCCCTTTGCTAGGGCCTTTCAAAGAGTCCAATCCTCAATATTACTGAAGATAATATTTGACAATCAAGGTTACACATAATTATCTTACCTTAAATATGATGCGACTCACATACTCCTGTGGCAGACTTACTATTGGTGACATCAACAAAGCTGCACCTATTTCTGAAGCTACTAAAAGAATATCCTCAGGTAATGCTTCCAGCTTCAGTAGCTCAATGATTTGTTGTGCTATTACTACTGGATCTGATACAAAGACTGCATTCCTGTAGCTAACAGCTTGCAGTACAAGTTTCAGTATCAGACAGATAGGCTCATGCCTGTCCATGACATTCTCTGGTGATGATACAAATGACGTGACAGTTTTCTGAATAAGAGAAAACATATTTAACTTCAGCACTGATGCAACTGCCAAATAAATCTTCAACATATATTACTCTGAAGAGTTCAATTTAACATACAAAGGCTGAAGTCCAGAAAGGTCCACCTTTCTTCGGTTGAATGAATTTCACCATTGCTTCCACCATATAAGTTAGTACTTCAAAGAGGAGATTTTGTGATACTGATTCATCTGCTAACATCTCAAAGACAACAGGTAACATGATGTCGGCACAGCTGTGGAACTGGCCTGACACACCACGCATGACTTCAAATAAAAGGCGACCACAACCTGTAACACCCTGTATAACAGATAAGTGATAATATTACAATTCCATCACCCTTACTTGGTAGGCTGGAAGAAAAAGCAATAACCAGAAGCTTTAAATAAATATCATCATCATCAAGGCCTGTTCATATGAATCCATAGATGGTTTCCGTTTCTCCACTATCATTTTTGTCATTCAAAGTTTCTTTGTCCCCTTGGACAATAACAGAAAGCCAACAGTGGGTGATGATCTTTTCCATTTTTTCCAAATTATTTTTCCAGTTTTCTTAGTTATCCTTCTATCTCTTCAATTATATCTGTATTTTTTATTTAATGGTGCTGACAATTTCAAGACTGCATAGCATCAATGATAGGATCATTAATGAATATGGAGCAGTTACTGAAATATGAACTGTCAGGGGAAACTGTAGTACTTGGAGAAAATCTCCTAGTACCACTTTGTCCACCATAAATCTCACATGATCTGACCCATACTTGTAAATTTCCATCTTTCTCTGATGTCAAAATTTCATTGGTGATCTAATCTACTGTGGTCTTGTAGTATTCCTAAAGATTGCAGGTACACTGCCTCAATTTTTTTAGATTCATTTTGGCTTAAAAACCAAATTTCATTACTATAATCAAGTGTTGCTCTTCATATGATATTATAATAAATTAATTTTATATCACTTTCAGCCCATGTTTCAACATCTCTTTTAATCATACCATTTACTCTACTGCAACTCTGTAACTTCAAGTAACTATTATGAAAAAGCTAAATATTTCTGTCCAGTGTGACTGTTTAAGATTTTTTTTTATTTCAATTATTCATGCATGAATAACTGAAGTGAAAAAAAAAACCTTAAACAGTCACACTGGACGGAAATATTTAGCTTTTTCATACTATTGTTAGTGTGATGGACCAGAATGAAACAAATTAAATTTGTGTAACTATCCTTCTTCAGTTCTGAAATCATGTCTCCTATGTATAATTAGTAGATACTAAATACATAGCAACAAATTAGTAAATGAAGTGGTTGAGGGCTATGCTACAAGCCGGAAGGTCACGGGTTCAAGTCCCGATGAGGTCATTGGATTTTTTCCAGTTGACCTAATCCTTCCAACCGCACTAGGCCCTGGGGTTCACTCAACCTCTAACAGATATGAGTACCAGGAATTAATTAAATAATTTTCCTGGGGAGTAAAGCGCGGTTGGCATATAAGGCAGACAAACTTACCACCATCTGTGAGCCGATTGTCTAGAAGTGGGACCCTCAACATCTCTGTTTTGGGTCCCTATCTGGATCAAAATTATCACGTTTATCAAGATAATTATTACAACAGTGTGGCAACTGCAGAATACCTACTTTCAAGGAAAGTACGTATTTGTGGTACAATTAGGGTGAACAGAGGCCTTCCTTCAGATCTGAAAGAGGAATGTAAATGCCTGAAACGTGGTGACACCACATTCAGGAGGAAGGGGGACATTCTTCTTCAGTCCTGGAGGGATACTCACGTTGTGAATATGGTTTCCACTATTCACAATTCGAGTATGGTTGATGTTCAGAGACGGGACGGGCAAGTGAAGAAGCCTCTTTGTATTTCTGAGTATAATATGTTCATGAAGGGAGTTGATAGGGTCAACCAGTACTTGGCCTATTATTCCCTTCATAGGAAAACAGTAAAATGGACGAAGAAAGTTGCACTGTGGCTTATAAACTGTGCACTTTTCAATTCATTTTCAGTTTTCAAAAACGTGAACAGGAATTCTACTTTGAAATAAAAAGCATTTCTGTTGAACTTGGCAAAAGCTTGGGCTACTGACCTCACGGTGGCAGCAGTACCTGCGTCAGACACAGACGTAGTGCAGTCGGGGCCATCTGTTCGCACCCGCCGGAGGCCTCATGTGGACCCCCCTGGACGACTCTCAGTGATATGCGAAAACATACCCTCGTGAGAATTGTGAAGAGTGAACATTGCAAGAAGAAGTACCCTTCTAGGCAGTGCCGTGTGCGCACAGTCCACAAGAAGAAGAGTAGGACTGCATACATCTGCAACTTCTGCGTGATGCCTCTTCACAAAGGGGAATGTTTCCAGAGATATCACATGTGCACGCACTTCTAGGAGCTCTGGCAAGTGTTCTCCAAAAATTTTAGTTCATAAAATTAATTAGGAGATTTTATATTAATTTTTAAAGTGAACAGTGCACAAGTTAGGATGCTAGGCTTAAAAACCCCGGTCCCCAGGGTGATTTAAATATTTAAACAACCGGTCCGCAACGTGTTAAGCCAAAAATTCCTGCACAATGTAAGCCATACATGCTCATGTGTTGTCATGGTGGAGTACCCAGTCGTTTGTGTGCCACTTTTCTGGATGTTTTCTCCTCATGTCCTCCCTCAAATGCCTTAGAACATTGCGATAGAACTCTTTAATGATTGTCTGACCAGGAGTGACGAACTCCATATAAACAATCCCGTTAATAAATAACGGGGGAAAAAAAAAAAAAGAAATCAACATGGACTTAATGTTGCTCTTGACTTGTCAAGCTTCTTTTGGCCAAGGTGAAGAAGGGCTCTTCCATTGCAACGATTGCTGCTTACTTTCAGGGTTGTAGCCATAAACCCAACTTTCATCACCAGTGACAACCTTCAAAAGAAAGTTTGGATCCTCTTGAAGCTGTTGTTGAAGTTCCCTGCAGACTTCCAAGCAATGCTGCTTCTGTTCATTTTGCAGCAGTCGTGGCACAAACTTTGCCACAATCCTCATGTTCAGCTCCTCTGACAAAATTTGTTGACATGTACCATAACTTAGTCCCAAGGTGTTACAGAAGTCTTGGATGGTCAGTCTACGATCTTGCAGAATCAGATCCCTAACTTTCGCAACATTTTCTGGCGTGGTGCCAGTTGACAGCCGTCCCAAACTATCGTCATCAGTTGATGTTCGGGTATTTTTGAAACGCTTATACCAGTCATAAGTTTGTGTCTGGCCTAAACTGTTGTCACCAAAAGCTTGCTCCAACATTTGGTGCGTTTCTGCAATGGTTTTCCAAAGTTTAAAACAAAATTTTATACAGATGTGCTACTCTCTCAGGTCAGCCATCGCAACACCGCGAACTCACAGAAACACAACAATGATAATACGTTCACCAACAACAAACCCAACCACTCAACTTGACGCCGCTTTCCACACTGATTCAAGAAGGGTGTGTGGGTATACACCTAGCGGTATTTCGATGTATTCATACCCATTCGTGCGCAAAATTCAAATTCCGGGAACTTTTTAATACACCACATAAAATAAATTAATGAAAACATACTACAGGAAATCTCTATATGATAAAAAATGGATTCAGTAAGAAAATATATTTGTCTCACGTTCTTGTCCAAGTTTACAAAATGTTAATATACTGATTATGAACAAAAGAACCTTTACAAAGTTTAATAGCCAGATTTAAAAAAATCGCCTACAAGCGTTTAAAACATATTAGTTATGGGTTCAATGATGTTCAAGTAATCAGTTCTTTTAACATTACCAATAATGCACTGCATCACTGTGATGATCCAATGTGCAATCCAACATGCACAGCACCTTATTTTCTTCAATACAAATACCATCACACGAAAGTTAATGTCTAAATGCCATCATACAAGTATATAGTAATGCAGGATTTGAATTCTTTGTTCCTGGATGATATGGGTTAAAACACAAATGCAAATAATACTGTCTAAGACTTTCATATATTTGCTGTAACTACAAAGACAACTAATGAAAGGCACGTAATACAGTGCATGGGAAAAGTAAAAAACACCATACATGCAAACAGTGAAACAGTGTACAACTCTTTAATGAACCGTCACAACACAGCAAATAGTAAAACATCAAAGTCAGCATTCAGCTGTGGCAAACTATTACCATAGGTCCATAGCAATGCAAGTATAAGAAAGGTTACGTGAAACATTTATGAAAGTGTTAAAGCTATACCATAGTACACAAAATCGTATTAAGACTGAAAAAATGAACATAAACACACAGACTAGTGTGGTAAAATGATGATCAGAATATAATCCAAACTGACCATTACTACAAAATACAGGAAGCTCAAAAAAAGGTGGATGTGATGGTAACAAATAAAACTTTTAATCTACAATACAGTTAGACTTGAAAGGATTCTGACGATGGTGTATACACTACTTCTTTTGGTTTATTTTGGACTTCACCCAGTGATTGAGACTAGCTCTTTCTAAGGGGCCCAACTGAGTAGGTTTATCCTTCCCTTGAAGATGGAGACAGATCCAGTCTCCGAAACGTCGTGGTTTTTTGTCTTTCACATAACAAACGATGGGTGAAATCCAAAATAAACCAAAAGAAGTAGTACAATACAGTGATAAAACATTATAGCCATATTCGATGAAGCCATAAGATATAAAAAAAGTGTTGTGTGTTGGTATATGAAAATGTTCAAGTGAATGAACGAAGATTAACGAAGCTGGTATTTTCCAAAAATGTTTTAGAAACATCCTATCTCTCTATTCCCATATAGCTTGGACTCTCAGGAAAGTATAAGACACATGAAAATTCTAAGTCATCATAATTTCTGATATCATTCATACTAACCCACTCCTAAAGACGCTATCGACAAGAGAAGACAACAGACGACTCAAACGAAACTGGCCAATTGACCTGATTTGAATGACTGAGAATTCGCCGCTGGACGACTCCTCATCAAGTCATATAAACAACCATAACATTAGCTTATAGAATGTATATTCTGATTGCTGATTAAACAAATAAAAGAAATTCATACTGACAGAAACTTCCATTGCAAACAGTACATCTCTATAAAACATCATATCAATGATACATCTACTATATATTCTCCTTCATATTTGCATGGAAAAAATGTGTGAATAAGGCAAAAAAATATGTTCTTACCTCAGGATGTTTCTTCAAAGTTTTTAGTACAAGCAGAAGAAAGGCTCTTTTGTCCTTAACTTTACGTGCCACAAAGGCAAAACTTTCAGCAGCAAAATTGTTTATATAGTCAGGTTTTGAATTCTCGAGCAAGGGAAGAAGATCATTAAACACAATCCTGACATCCTTCACAAGGTATCGCCACAGGAACTTGGACAAGAATGCCAAACACGTAAAGGTCCAGTCCAACACGTCACTGTCTTTTGTATCGAGCAAATCAATTAAATTATGTACAAACTCTGAATAGTGTGGATAAAACTCCTGCTGCAAGTCTTGAGCCAATGCTACTACCAATCTGAAAACATTACAATACAGAACTTATGCAATCTTCATATCAAAAGAACTGAACACATTAAGAAGAAAAAGTGAAAAATGTGGAAAGAATTTCTACCACTAATCTCAAGTCAACGTTTCTCCTGATCTGAATAATCAGCACACAATGGAATCAAGACCTTCTTGCGAAGCTACCAGTTTCTCAGCTATTCAATAAATTCCCAGCATTTTATGAACCCAAAGGTTCATTGCCATGTTCACAACAGCCCAAACTTAGTCCTTATCCTGCGCCAGATGAATCCAGTCTACACCATCCCATCCTACTTTGAGATACATTTTAATATTATACTCTCACCTATGCCTAGGTCTTCCTAGAGGTACATTTTTTCAGGCTTTCCCACGAAAGTTATGCATGCATAAATGCTCAGAATTTGAAAACGCAGCGACAAAAGATGCCTATTCTGCAATCTAAACATGGCCCTTAAATCATATAAAATGTTGAAAAGAGCATACTGAATTTATTACTCTCATTCACATTTAAGTGTCAAGATTAAACAACTCATGCACAGCATAGCACATAACTGTTTACATTAACTTACTCCAATACAGGCTGCAAACACAAGGGATTCTTAAGCTTGATATACTTGATAAGTATTGCTACAATATCATCCTTTTGTTGTAGTACTTGAGGAAGTGTATGTGTTGCTGGTATTTCTTTCTTAAAGGCTTCAAAACTTTCTGTAAGGTTTAAATCACCCCATTTTTCTAGAGACTCATGAAAATATGTCCCAGATCCCTCGGAGTCATTTTCATTTTTATGTCTCACTCGATGGAAAACATCAACATCAATATTTGCTATCCTCTCAGAAAATGGCTGAAACTATAAAGAAAAAGAAGGGACATTAGTGAGTTTTATTACAAGTTAATTCAAAACATGTCAGGGACATTAGTGAGTTTTATTACAAGTTAATTCAAAACATGTCAAACCAACGCTACAAATAGTAAATATTCCACAAAAGTCATAACAGGTAAGTGAAAGGTCATGACTGATTCATATTAGCAGTCCCACAGTCAAAAACACACCATATTTCCTGAAAGTCTCCTCTCTCCTTCCCTCACATTGGGAAAATAAGAAAAATATGTTTCTTTTTTTTTTCACTCTAAAATTTCCTTGCTCCTCCTATAACTTAACTGTTTCTTTTTGAACAGTAAGAAAAGAAAGTTAGAAATGACATTAAAATTCCTGCAAAGATATGATTCCATTAAAATAAATTTAGCAGCTGATGATCACATGTGGCATGACATAAAGCCAGAACAGTGCAGTCACAGAAGTGTTGCAGAGAAGGCCACGGACAGGCAACTGTTCGGTAATTAGGTGTTCCAATTCCTGGATTTCTGCACGCTATGACTGACTGCTAACCACAGTCCTCAGTCAGTCGGTCAGTTACTAGAACACTATCCCACATAGTCATACATCATACAATTGCGTAGGTCCCAGCAGTACTTCAATATGTGAGCCCAAATACCTACTACAAGGCCACACAGGCAAACTGATTCGTTTATTCAATGTGCAGGACTGATCCAGAGTTAGATGTGCAATCAGACTAGATTCTACCTGGTCATGACTTAAGGATACTTTACAACATCCTTCTTAATCTAACATACAAACCCTAATACTAGGGTGTAGTGGATTGACTTTGGTTTCATATATTGAGCACATACAATAAGATTTTGGTCCAAGAACAACCCCTACTAAGAGCATTCTGTGGAATTAATCATATATATCTAGTAGTTCAATGCAGTTGGTCATATGCAGGTAGCCTCACAACAAACGAACTGTAAGTATGAAACTACTTTAATATGTAAAAGTATATTAAGAAAGAATATAGAAGTGCTGTTTAATCTACCCTGCAATGTCGTCCTTAAATGGGGTGACACAACCTCCTGAAAAGACCATAAGGATAATTTTCAACGATCATCCCCCTCCCGTTGCTTCACATACGCGGGCCACTTGCACCACATGCATCACTTTCTTGAACCCTTTAAAAGACCACTTGTTACTACATGTACCACCTGCTTTAACATACTAAAACACAGTGTACTTGTGTGTTTCTTACGGTTATCAAAATGAACAGCGACTGTCTCCCAAAAATTGCATTAACCGGTTGGTCTTTGAAGTGGACGCATGATTTCCCCTTCGGGTGCATTTTTATGTTATTTAGGGCTGTGATACTTAACCTTAAATGTATTGCTTTCCTTGTGCCTTGTAGGTTTATTCTTCATGATTGCAAATTAAGCTGAATAAGTGCTGTAAATTATAAATAACTCCTCTTCCACTGAAATGAATACTAATCGCACGTGGGCGGAAATATTAAATTACAACTTCAGACAACTTTTTTGTATGTATTCACATCATATGACACAGCTAAAACCTTTCAATACATAGCTTCTGCTTCAAATCGAGAATGTTGTCTAAACAGAGAAACGCATATTTAATGCTTCGCCTACAGAAATCCAAAACATTAACGCCAGCTTCCTTCCAACCACCCACAATCACTATCCAACGTTCATAGTGTCAGCAACCAACGTGAAACAAGACACATGGCCCGACGGATCTCCTGCTGCCATCTCAAATAGGTAGAGGACTCGTACTAGGCTCGGCAGCTCAGTGGGCAACACTTCGTAGTACCGTAACCTACCACGTATTAATCAAATCTCCGTAAACTTTAAGCACTGGTACTGAGAATTTTCGAACTTCCGGTAGATGAGGTACCCATTAGGATAACATTTTTCTGAGTACAATGATGATGGTAAATCATCTTTACAATCAGTTAATTTGTATTATGCTGTGTACCTCATTTACAGGCATTCATAATTTTATGGGATAACAGTATTCTGAAAAAGAAGTCACAGAGTAAAATGACATAAATCTAGCACACTTTTCCCTTCACAATCATCTCTGGAAACCCATATAATAATCTATTCACAAATTCTCCCGTCTCTCATGCCATTCCATTTATAATGAGCACTATTTAATAAAATCGGCTTAAAGACGTTGATCACGTTAAACATAATATTGTGCAGTACCTGAATTCCATTTACTCAACTGTAAGATATATTTCACTTTTTAGGGAGCGAGTTAAGTTCCCCTTCCATTCCACCTAAAATATGAAAGAATACAGATTGGTGGCAAATGGTACTCGCAGTACAGCAGCATGGATCTAGACCACTACAACTCAGTAACAGAAGAAAAAGGGGTTTCTCTTCATTCAATAAATGTTTTGACTTGAATCTAGCAATGAGGGCAACTTATACACAATGGAATTTTTCTTTAGATAAAGTTGAGCCACATGAGGAAAGTGGGAAATTCATGGCTTTACAACAGATTCAAATTTGTGCTCTCTCACATACTCTGTAACATGCAATAGGGATAATATGATTTGTATGTGAAACAAGTCAGAGTATACATCACATTCAAAATACAGAACACAACATAAAACACATTATGACAGATCTACACATTATAAAAGGATGCAACACCTTACAAAACAAACATAAAAACAAAATGCACTAAAGAGAGCTATAACATTAATAAAATTACACATATTTTTACTATATTTTATCATTCAGTGAAATGCATATGGTAAGTGTAAACAAGATTATATACAGGGGATGGACAAACATATGGAAACACACAACAAAAAACACATTACTGTGACTAATATGGTGCAGGACAACCTCTGGCTTGCAGAACTGCTTGCAGTCGCCTTGGAATGGATAAATAGAGGTCCTGTATGATTTGCAAGGGAATCTTGTACCATTATTCCTGAAAAACATGGTAAGTTAGTTCTGTCATCAATGATGGAGGTGGATAGCGCGCATGCAGATTGCTCTCTGAAACAGACCACAAGGCTCAATAATATAGATGTCTGGCGATTGTGGGGGCCATAGCAGACGTGACACTTCATCTTCGTTCTCAGAAAACCAGTCCTGGATGATGTGAGCTATGTAAACACAGGCATTGTTGGCTTGGTAAATGGCATCACCATTAGGGAACAAAGTTTGCACCATGGGATGGACCTGGTCGCCCAAAATGGCCACACAGTCGTTGGCAGTGACGTGACCTTGCAGGGTAATGATGGGTCCGACAGAATACCACGATATGGCTGTCCATGCCATGATCGAACCCCAGCCATGTTTCACTCTTGGCAGCAAACAATCTGGATCGTAAGCTTGGGATGGCATTCTCCAAACGTAAACTCGGCCAGAAGTTGGAAACAATGTGAAGGTGGACTCATCCGACCAAATGACTGTCTTCCATTGCTCCATAGTCCAGGTTTTATGACTTTGGCACTACACTCTCCTCTTAGTGGCATTTGGATCACTGATGAGTGGCTTTGGAATTGCAGGTCATCCAGAAATAACCTGCTTGTGGAGTTCCCTTCGTACTGTTTTGGTGCTGACAGGGTTTGTGAGCGTGACATTCAGTTCAGCAGTCACTTTTGCAGCTGCAGTCTTCTTATTTTTCGTCACAATCCTACGCAATGTTTGGCTGTCTTGATCACTCAACACACATTTCCGTCCACGCTGGTGTTCATCGGATGCGGTTTTTTCAGTCCTCCTGTATGTGGTCCCCTCGTTGGTGTCTCCACCTTATCGTGATGAGGGTGTTTGAGTATGCCAAGGACCCTGAGAGCTATACCAGCGGTAGCGTAGCTACTGGCAGGGCCTCCCTTGCTGGACAGGTCAAAGGGTAGGCATCAGACGAAGAGAGACACCGAAAACTGATGCCGGAAGCAGCGTCATCAGCGGCGACTTGAAGCACAGAGAAAATGATGCTCGAGATGGTTCAAGTTCGTATAGCAACAGGCGTGACCAGAGTGGTTTGAACGGCTGTTGTACTGCGATGTGGAAAGCAAATGGAAAAACTACCACATTATCACTTTTCCTGGATAGTCTCTTTCCAAAAACAGAAGATCGCATTAAGTGGAGAAACTGTTTTGGAAGAGGCTGTGGACCTGTCATCTGACAGATTACTGATGAATGAATGTATGTGGTCATAATCTTGGATACTGTGCCTCGCAAAACACCAAAAACCTCGGCTACCTTGGTTACGGAAGCACCCACCATATGGGTCCAAACAATTTGCTCGCGTTCAAATTCTGTTAGCTCTGACGTGATGCACAAAAAATTGCACAGAACACTGTCTCGACAACAAATGAAGCTTGCAACGTATTGCGGAGCTTGTACAGGTAGTGGTGTTGGGCAGATACGACAGCGTGACCTACAAACGTCGCTAAAATAAACACTTCAATTCAGGCATGTATTTCACGAGGTTCTTTCCATATTTTTGTCCATCCCCTGTATACGAGTATAAAGGTTTAAAACCCATAAGAGCTATGGACAATGAGAAAAATTGAATTAAAAACGTTTTGTTCATAAAAGTTTGTACACAATCCCATCACTTTCATTCATCATTTATATTTCAACCAACACAAAATACTGGTATTGCTTTCCGGTCATTTCAATAAGTAATATGGTGAATTTTCAAATATAATATTCATTTACTGCACTTACTCAACCAAGACAACCATTTGTTCAGTATCATTAGAAGTACATTTAACTTTATGTATTTTATTCCAGGAGAATGTTTTTAAGAGCAAAATGATAATTTAAAATATTCTCCTAAATGACATACAATATAGGAAGTTTATTTTATTACAATGGCTGGAATTGGAAGCAGCCGTGCAAAACACCATATACTTGGCTCCAAAGTGCTTTCTTAATGAAGCCATTCCCAGCATCTGTAGTCATAGTGACTACTGTTCTTAATAATACATTTAGGAATAAATTCCTAAATTACTGGGATTTTGGACTTTTTCCATCATCTGGTGTTCTAGAAACTAGCAAACATGAAGTTTTGGGAACTGGATCTGTTTCCGTCTTAAAGTGAGGGGGGGGAGACACAAACTCATTTAGGTCCCTTTGAGAGAATGAAACTCAATCACTAGACAACCCATCAGATTCAATATTTAATCACATGAGGGCAGAAACAGACCCAGATCTGAAACATCATGTTTTCTAATCTCTAGAATACCAGATAATGGGAAGGGTCCAAAGACCCAGCAATTCTGGAACCCTTTGGAACCTACTATATTGTAATAACTCGATAATATGTGTTGGTCATTGGTCATTTCCTTTTGCTCTAATGCTGGTTTGTAGCACTTGAAGAGTTCTGAAAAGCCATTTCCTCCCCTGTCTGGTGTAAGTTTTCTCTTCACAGTCACTGCCATCAGAACTGCATCTCACATGGAACTTTATCATCAAATCTGTGTATTTGGAATGATATATATNTATATATATATATATATATATTTATTTAATTTATTTATTTATATAAGGAAGAATTTTCTTTATGCCTAAGCAGACTTTCAGAACAGAAATTACATTTTCAAAATCTGAATTAAAACATTATCATGTTATGTAGCGACCAAAAATTAACTGAAACTTTGATAACAAAACTGTATATTTTAACAACACAGAGATGGAAAATTTTGACACCTGTCTAAAAATACTGAACACTTTAAGGAAAAAATCTCTGATGTATTTCATTCTGGTGGACTTCATAAAAACCTTCTTTTCATGCCACTGTAGTATATTCATATATTTGTATGGATAATCTCAGTGTGTGTATAGCATTTGTGAGTGCACCCACAAATATATGGCATGCTTGGTTTTATTATGAACTGTTGTGGATTATGTATGAAAGAAGTCCATGTAAATGAATGGGTTGTGCTGTGTTGGCCCCCAAATACTCAAAACAGACAAGAGCATAGAAATGGGAGCATAAAACATATAGTTTCTGGGAATTACATGCAATACGTCCTTGCCAGACCAAGAACATACATGGAGAGAACGAGTCTTCACGTATTTCGCAAAACTGGAAATTGCTCAATGTTCGAACACCAAGAAATATTTTTGTAACTACCACTGAAATTGTTTACAGTTACTACTCCGAAAACTGTCAGTTCTATAAGATTTTTTTTTTTTTTGGGACTCCCATATTTATTATGCAATCTGAGTTAATACATTTAGCATAATGATGTGAAAAGGAAAGAAAAAGAACGTGTAGAATACCGCTCATTAGCGGTGCTCCTTGTGCAGTAGATAGAGTCTGGTATGATTTGTGGGAGAATACTTACAAACTAGGGACTTAAGATCTAAATAATAATACTACATTATACAAGAAATCTGTTTGGGAGATCATGTGGAAGATGTCTTCTCAGTCTGCGGAGAGGCGGGGGTGCAGAGAGTTGAGACACTTCTTGGTTAATGTGCATGTTGAGCCGTGATCTGTATTTCGAACTTAGTCGACTGATTTCTTCTTGAACTGTAGGTATTTGTAGATCGTGTCTGATGATGGCATTGGGGACATACCAAGGGGCGTCCGTTAGCAGACGCAGAGCTTTAGACTGAAATCGCTCAAAGATGGCAATGTTGGTGTTCGAAGCAGAGCCCCATAGTTGAATGCCATATGTCCACACAGGTTTGATGATGATTTTGTAAATGAGGAGCTTGTTGTTTAGAGTTAGTTTAGATCTTCGTCCAAGTAGCCAGTGTAGTTTGGTGAGTAG